GTAAAGAATAGAAGAAGCAAGAACATCTGATCACAAAGGGGGAGATTGTTAGAGATATTATCATTGTATTGTGATCAATGTTACTTATGCTTTTGTAGTTAGTTGAAATAAATAAATAGACTAGCTAGAATAATGAATAGGCCTTTTAAGGCAATTTGTAATAAAGGCTTTCATGCCTTTTTAGGTATGGGCCTCCTAGAAAAAGGAGCCCAAATGATTGTAAAACCTACCTTTCCCGTCAGGCTATATATATGCCTTAAGGGAAAGGCTAGGTTAAGCTTTTCAACACATTCCTAGTGCCACAATGCCTATTCTCGTGTAAGGTTTCACGCTAAACTTTCATATCATTCTGTAAAACCTTCACATCAATGGAAAGCTTCAAATCATAGATCTATCTTCCATACATACATTCTAGACTAGAAACCTTCACATCAATGATGTCTTATCTTTTTGTGGAATGGTGGAGATTAAATAGTGGTTTCAGTGTTAAAGTAGTGGCAATATTGTTTCTCTTTCAGTTATACGGAGTATTAGTTTTTGGTTATTGAGGAGGGTACCATCTATGACACTGATTTTAATGAAATTATCCTTTAGAGAATAAATATATACATGATAAAATCCCAGTTTGCACATTGATAGGAATCACTGCCTTAGCAAGGAACCAACTATTGACTATGCAATGTTCATTTGATATTCCTCAGTGATGCATGAAAAGGTCTGGGTAAGACCAGAATGGTTTGATCTCCAGACTGATTGAACTCCCTATATTACTACCTTTTATAGGCAAACATGTCCCTGGGGTTTGACGAAACTAAAGTTGACAATCAAACAGGAGAAATAGGAGCGATAAGGAAATTAAGTCAAATCTTTCTTTTCCCTGACATCTTTCAGGCATGCGTGCTCATAGTCATATACATAGATGGAATCCACGGAGGAAATTGATAGAGTCTCAACCAAAACAACAGAAATTAGTAGTATATTGATGAAGATCGCAGAGTTACAAGTGCGGAAATTGTAAGAAAGAGAAAAAACTGATAGTTGGGACTCTTCGAGAGGTCCCGCTCTCCCAGCCCAATTCTACAGAATTCCAGCCTAACCCCGTATTCCTCCCCTTCCTTCTATTTATACTACCCGTACAATTATTATTATTTATATTATTATTAGCCCGGTTTCTATCATATCTCCCCCTTAGACAACCACCTTGTCAGGTGGGTGATAGGAACAGCCCTGACCATCCTCTTCATTCTTGCGCCTCTTCCTTCTCAATACATCACTGATTTCTGTATAACCACATCTTTTTACTTGATAGGTATTTCTGTATCTTTAGCTTCAGCACTTGACCCTTCATCCTCACTTCCTTAGACCAGCATTTCTCTAAGGTCTTCACAGCCTTTTCATAGACCTCATTGTTGTCCTGAATCTGGAAATTAGCAGTCTTGTCTATCCTTCATAATCGCCAACCTTCTGCGCATATAACATCACCCCACTATTCAACCCAATTTCTTTGTCCCCTTTGCCTACTTTCAGAATGTTCTCCAGCCCTTCAAGGCATATAGTAACAATTCTTGGATCTTGACAGAACGAGAGATCATAGAGCATCTTAATGCAGCCGTTACTTGCCAAGCATCTAATCTGATCATGAGAGCCCCCCGATGTGGCCTTAGAGATAGCCCCTGCAGCTTCTTTCTTGATGTCAACTTCTACATTTTAAAGGAGGTGTACCAAAGGAATAATGATATATGCCTCAATAATTGCCTTTATATGATCCTACTCCCAGCAGTGATGTTAGATATTGTCCAGCAAACTTCAGTCCAAACTTCTTCCTCTTTCATGTGGATGAATGGCTGAAGGACTGGCAATACAGCTTTGACCCGGGCAAATGGTGTTGGTGGCTTGCCTAGCTAGAAGCTTGACAAAGTCCCTGTAGCATTTCTCCACATACAAGGCTCTGAATGCTCATTTGACTGAACTAGCAATGGTAGGATTGCACCATGCCCAAGACCCCTGATCGATACAGCTTGGGGCATCACAAGAAACCTTTCCTAAAGCCTATACAGCCTGCTCACGAACCTCATAAATCGGAGGGCTGCGTTCAATCGTCAACAGCTGTCTTGATGGTGTCGTTGCTTGATAATCATATTGTTGGGGTTTAGAATAAAGTGTAGTGCCCAATTCAGAGCTGTTCACATCTTCTTCACCATCTGAATAGACTCTCTAAAACCCGTAGATCAGCACAGAATATAGTAGGTTTCTGCTCCCCAATGTCCTCAATTAATAACTTTGATATCCCCATGCCAAAATTCTATTGATGCACCATGGCTGATGAAACATAATTCAATCAATCGATCAAAAATGTGAGCCAGAATGAGATAGGAACTGTATCCATCATTCAACGAAAGCGATTCATTCACACTCTCTAGCAAACGCTTTACCCCAGCCATAACAGTAACAATATTATAATTTGAAATCCAAGCACCTTTGGGGTCTCTAGTAGTCTCACACTCTCACTGGTATACATTCTTGTCCAAATGTCTGTTTTCTTCTTTGCTGGAAGATCAAAGTTCTTATCTTCTCCAGTTTTTCATTTGAGTCCCAAATAATTGGTAATAGCAGGGTTTGTCTCATCTCCACCGAAGGTGGGAGGCTTTGCAGCACTGGGGTAATGATGATGAATGAATGAAAAGCAGGGTTTGTCTTATAAAACTTCAACCGCCAACAGAAATTGTGCACAACAGTGGTGCCATCCGATCTAAGATTCTCGAACAGCCATAGCACCAAGTCTAGGAAGTTTTTTCTCCCCTTTCCTTTATAAGAGAGCCAATAGCTCTTGTAGCCACAGAAGTACAGAACGAACTTCAGGGATAAGAGCCTGAGGAACTTCCGGCTCAAAACACTCTGCCTGTTCTCCATTTTTTCCAGGGTCACCAGTAATGACCACGGACAGCGGCTTTGTCTCCAGAGAAGTTTTATCAGCTTCTCTAGCGAAATTTTGCTTTAAATTGGCGACCCTATGAACATCCTCAGCACGATTAGGAGTTAGGACCCAACTGGACTCTCTCTTCTTCTACCTTTTCTCTGGGGCGCGAAGAAATAATACCTTCAGGGGAAGGTTGCCACTGATTATTCGACTCCCTAGGGGACGTTGAAATTTGCAAACGGTGAGTAGCAGCTCGCAACAGAGCTTGTGAACTGGGGACATCTGCTCGTGGCGAAGTTGGCGAACTGGGAGAAGTTGCTTTCGACTGAGACCAAACCTGCACACTTAGCAACGATGCCTTCAAATTGAGGAGATCTGTTCGCGACGAAGCTGAAGCGGACATCTTCGAACCATTAAAATCAGCCAGCGACTGCGAACTGGGAGCAACTACGAATGACGATGCTGAGCTGATTCTAGAATTCTGGCAGCTTCTAACTGTCCTCGATCTCCTCGTTGGCGACGTTGACGCAGATGATTTATCATCTCGTCCAACATCGTTTCCATCTTCGTGACATGGCGTTCAAAATTTCCTGTGCTATTCTCCATTTGCGCACGCGCAACAGTCCTTCTCTACAGAAATCAGTAGTATATTGGTGAAGATTGCAGAGTTACAAGTGCATAAATCGTAAGAAAGAGAAGAAACAGATAGTTGGGACTCTTCGAGAGGTCCTGCTCTCCGAGCCCAACTCTACATAATTCCAGCCTAACCCCTTATTCCTCCCTTCCCTTCTATTTATACTACCCGTACAATTAATATTATTTATATTATTATTATTAGCCCAGTCCCTCCCTTTCTTCAATTTTTTTAAGTAATTTTTTTTTCACGAATGTCAAACACAGTGTCTAGTTATAGACATTGTACTTGAAATTGTGGAGACACAGACATCAAAACATAGAAACTATGAAAATCAAGAGATAATTTATGTGTTCAATTTTTTTTGTGTGTGTGTGTCTCTTATGCCATTTGTGGCACCATACACTGTTTCACTGGAGACAATCTGAAGTGCTGTAATGGCTCATAAGTCATAACTGATGTCCACGACTTGAATGCAGTAAATGCATGTTAGTAAGTGCCCTAGTGCAGTATTATTAGAAAGCATAGCGTATTGAATATTCTACTGTATCCAATCAAAAAAGAAATATCGGAAATTAGATGTGATAATCCCACATCAACATGCAATGGTTATAATAAAAAAAAATTAAATAATTTTTATAATAGTCATCCATATTCTTAACGTTGTTAGAAAGGCATTTTTGACGCGGCAAAAAAAGCACAAAAATGAGGCATACACCTCAGATGGACACTTAAGCCTTGGGCATTATAAATGAGGCATACACCTCAGATGGACTGACACTTATGCCTTAAACGCGAACCCTTTTGAGGTCTCATGCGCCTCAGTTTTATTGAGGCTTAAGTCTCGAAGTTATTTTTTAAACTTCTGATCTGATCCTGGGCTTATCATTTGAAAATGAAATTCATACTGGGCCTTTTTATTCAATAGCCAGCACTCTTTAAGTCCATTAAAAACCCTAAAATATAAGTGTTACATAAAAATTAACACATTTTTCTTCACGCAGCTTTTACTGTTCTGCTCTTTCGAGAATAGATAGAAATGTAACTTATGAAGATAATGGAAACTTCAGATAGCCTGTTTCTTCAGATGAACCTTGAGTGAAGATGAGAGGAAGGATACTTTTAAGTGCTCTTTGTAGTCTATCCTCTTGCGTTGTACAGCCTATGCCTCAGTTCTGAATTATGTGTTTAAATGTAACTTGTGTTTGTTTTGGTTACCCTAAGTATAAACTTTGTTTTGTGGCCATGTGACTTTTCAGATTTTAAATTTATGACTTTTGATCAGTTATCGCTCTTTTGTGGTCTGGTCTTTCTTATGAGTTTCTTGTTTAGCTTGGTAAATATGCATTTATATTGTGTGTCTGTTTGAACTAAAATGACATACGCTTTATGTATCACTCTCTGCAAATATCTTATCTATACTTGATGAATCCTAAGTTTATTTTGCAGGTTAATGGTTCAATTAAGATTTAATTGATCTGTTTTGGTCACTAGGCTTGACGCAGTGTGAATTATATGGCAATTGTGCATCTGATAGGCTCACATGTGTTCTCTAGCTCTTGCATCTTTTCCTTGATATTGGAGCTTCACCATGCAGGTAATTTTAGTCGCACAGCTTCACTGTATTATTAATTTTATTTAATTTAATTTCACAGCTTCACTGTATTATTAATTTTATTTAATTTAATTTCACAGCTTCACCTATCTCTTTGTACTTTGACACACTTAACAAAGTAGTCTATTACTAAGGAATTAAACAAAACAATTTAATCAAAATCATTTACTGTTTTGTAGACATCACATAGTACCAAGATGATATTATTTTAATATTACTACAAGTCTATAATTATGTGATGGTACATCTGATTCACGTAATGTAAACTTTGTAGGTTTTCAAGCCTTGGTCCAATATCTAACAAACTGATGTTCTACGTTTGGAGTATTGTTTTGTGGATGGAGATGAAGAGACATGGAGCCTCACAACTAGGAAACTAGGCGCGCAGCTTGACTGTTACACATCTAGTTTAGATTTTTATAGTAGAAATTAGTTGCATTTATATTATGTAAAAAATTGATATTATTACTTTTTTTCAATGTATACTTGCTTATTGAGTAGGAATGTTATTTGTTAATTAAAAAACATTGTATTACAAATTTTTAATTATTTTTGGAATAAAGCTTTCATTTTTAGATCAATTTGTAATTCTATTTTGGATTGTGATTGGTTGTGTATTTAAATTAGTAAATAAGTATTGCTATAAAAAATAGAACAATACCAATGATGTATTAACTGTTGCTATAGCATTAAATTTAGTAAAAATTGTTTCAAGCCTATACCTACGGTAAATGTATTTACTAACAGACTAACAGTTGTTATTTTGTTGGTATATGTTGATGAGCTATTCCGACTGTAGGAAATTATGTTGGTGTTGGTCTATACCTACGAGACGTATATTGACACTCAAATTTTCGTTGGAATTGTACACATTTCCGACTTTCCGTTGGTATAACTAAAAGACGCCTATGCCAACACTTTACATGTCTATACCAACACTTTTTTTTACTGTTAGTACTATCCTCCGTTCTTTTTTAGTTGCAACATGTTGAATTTTACGCTATTCACGTGCTCTACTTTGACTACGTTTTATTTATTAACTTATACGAATTATTTTTAAAAAAAAATTGTTCAATTTGTCTCATTACAAATTTTCAAAATCTATTTTTTAACTTTTTTTTTTGCTAATAGAGAGTAAGAGATATTGACGATCAAAGACGTGCATTGGCAAATGTGCAAAGTTGATTGTTGCAACTAAAAAAGAACGGAGGAAGTATATGACAGTTCGTTTTTCGATCATCACAAAACATAAAATTTCATTCAAAATAATACTAAATGGAGTATAAGTTTATGGTTCATATATATATATATATATATATATTGAATTGTGTGTGTGTGTGTATATATATATATATATATGTATGTATGTATAAATTTACTAAATTTAATCACATATAAAAGATTATAAGTACACAATTTCAATAAATCAAAGTTACAAATTACAATTCAATTATTCAATACATCAAGATACTTAAAATTGAATACGTGTATATACTACGTATATCTTTAGTCCGTAAGCCCTACTGCCCTAGGCCCCCAGCCAACTACGGAGTACAAATCAAACAAAGAAAAACAAAACTGATTAAATGTAAATATTATAATAAAATAATAATATACTAGTAATAAATTTACGGAAAAAAATAAATAAAATATCCCAAACTTTGAAGGGATGTGAGGTAAGCACCCCAAACTTGCAAATGTAATTTAAATACCCCAAACTTTATAAAAAAAGTATTTTAGCACCACGTTTATGTACTATTTTTTTAAAAAATGTTAATTTTTTGTGTTAATTTCATAATTTAAAATGTTTTAGCATTCATGAAGATTCAATTAACATTCTAAACTTTAACCGTAAAATAAATAGTATCACCCTCCACTCTATATAATTGCAACGTTTTTAATTTGTTATTTTAAATTATGCAATTAACACCACAAATTTACATTTTTGAAATAAATAATACATGATCATGGTGCTAAAATAATTTTTTATACAAAGTTGGGGTATTTTAATTACATATGAAAGTTTAGGGTGTATGTCACCCCTTCAAAGTTCGGGGTATTTTAATTTTTTTTCCCTAAATTTACACATGGGAAAAATCTAAAGCCTCGAATGTGGAATGCCGATTTGGATTCCTGAACGAGTCTGAACTCTGAAGAAGGAAGTCTGATCAACTCCTTACGGCTTAGTTTTCTTTTTGGCAAAAAAATAAAACAACGCAATGGAAAATTGAACCCGCTACATCAAGGGAGGCAGATTCTCCTTGCCAGCTAGCATCCAAATGAACCAAAGGAACCTTTACTTACAACCACACCTAAATATATACCCCATACATTATAAGATGGGCTTATTCTAAAAATTAGAGGCCCCTAAATTTTGGAGTACCTGCCCCTATGGTAGGCCCCTTTCCTACCGAAAAGTGTATTTTTTTGGGAAAAAGTTCTTAAATCGCAAAGATTTATTAGTTACATGATCAAACTTGCAAGTGACTAAATTTGCGTGACTAATAATAAAAACAGTCAAAAATTACACGAGTAAAATTGCAAACCTTCCATTTGAAAAATGTCGCGAGTATAGTACTTATAAGCATGTTATGAATTTATAAATTTATGAACTTTGTTGTCGCAACATACGTCTATTGACACGATAATTTAATTTTGTTGAAATTTGATTGCAGTTGATAGAAAGTGTTGATGAGTTTGGGTCACCCAAAATTGATGCGTTTGATTTTGTGAAATAAACACGTGTGGTGCCCGAGTAAAACATGGTGGTTGATCACTCAATACTCTTGGAACAAATGCCTCGTTATGCTCCTAGTCTGAAAAGGGGTTCAAACACTCGCGAACACTTTCATGAAATATGAAAGGTGTATTAAGCTTTTCATGTGTTGGTAAAAAAAAGCTTTTAATGTGGAACGTGGACCATTATACATGTCAATCTGTTCGATCTCTTGGATCTCATACTAGATTATGAATGTTTTTATCAGAATATATGTTTCGATTTTGTTTTATTATTTAAGTCTAGTTTATGACTTAAAATACAAGCCACATGTACTTCAAGTATATACTTGCTACCAAACGTTTCGATTTATGTACTACACTGCAAGATTTTTACTACTTTATAGCAAGTACACTAAGAGCCGGTTTGGTAGCACGAAAATCAACTGTTTTGGTTGATTCTGCTGAAATTTATGAAGTTTTGGCTGAAGTGGCTGTATTGGCTGATTCTGCTGATTTAAGAAAAAAATATCTTTAAAATATATTTTATTAATAAAATAAAGAAAAAGTTATATGCAAAATAGCTAAAATGGTCATCTACAGTAACTTCAGCCAATACAACCAGAAAAGTAACTCCAACCTTACAGCAAAAATTACGTGTTTGGTGAAAAAGCTGGCTGATAAGCCGAAAATCAGTGTTGTCAAACGACCTCTACTCGTAATACTTTTATTTGAAGTCCATACAACATAACCCGCTCATAAATTGTCATGGCTCATGACATTTTCAATTTTTTGTCATATAAATATAAGGGATCGGAAAAGGAAAAGGGTCAAATAAGATTTTCTATGAAATCGTCACATAATATCATATACTCAATAAAGTGTCATATAAGTATGTTTACTTATAAAGCAGTCTAATGAGTCAAAATGATCCGTTGACAACCTTCTAATCTTGATTTTAGCTTACGTGTCATTATTTTTTCCTAGCTTGTGTGACGATTTTATAATAGTAGAAGGTCTCATTTGATCCCTTTCTCTAAAGGGAAATTAGATTACCCTAAATAGGACAAACAATAGCTCCAATGAAAGGAATTGATATGTTTTTTTTTTCAACCAAAACCCAAATTAATTGAAACAAAAAATAAAGAATACTGGGTCTGGGTTAAAAGTTAAAAGGGAAAACTGTCAAATAGGTTCTCGAACTTTCATAAAAAGGTCAAATAAGATGAATAAGATGCTCAAATTCAAGAGTTAATTTGAATGCGTTCCCGATTGAAGTTTTAGCTGAAATTTGGTATGAGTAAACTAGGCTTGATGAATAAGATGCTCAAAAAAATTCATCAAAAAATTCCACTGGGAACCGCCCCAAATCGCGAAGGCCGGACAAGACCTCCTATATAAGGACTTATTTGACCTTTTTATGAAAGTTCGAGAACTTATTTGACAGTTTTCCCAAAGTTAAAACTATTCGGAATGAATGAACCAAAAAGTCTACTGAAAATTGGCTTTTGAAAGAGATCGTGTTAGGATTGAAACAACTCCCAGCCAGCCAGACATGCCCGTGCTGAGCGGGAGAGCGTTTGAAATGGAATCATAGAAAGGAATTGATATAAATCCATTTTAATTAGATTGAAATTTTATGATTTAGTTTGGTTTATTTTTAACCGGTCCATAATTCCATATGAACTGGTTTAATAGATCTCTGTTATGTATGCATTTTGCCATTGTAAGAGTCTTATATGGGCTAATATGATCTTTTTTGGTCTATTTCAATATGATCTATTATGATGAGATATGATTTGATTCATTATGAATCTGAAATCAGTCTAATTAAACACATTCTAATTTATATATTATTATTAACACATGAATTGCATAAAATAACAAAATAATGGGAATAGAAAAAAAAGGACTGTAGCTAACCATTTCTGGGTGGGGGTTTTGTTAATTATTTTGTTGAGATGTGCGGAAAGATTTATGGCTTTTTGAATTCCCAGCTACATAGCCATTTTAATGCTGCCATGGATATGTGCCTTTTCAATTTCTCAAAACGTGATAGGAAATCCGATTTAAAATTTTAAATTAGATAAAATTTGGTAAATGGTGAAACGTAATTATTAAGCTAGCTTTCAATCGACCGAGATGCATCCAAGGCTTTGAGTTAATTCTCTACGAGTGACGAGTGATGCTGTGGTGTTCAATAGTGAACTTTAAATCAATTCATTTTAATAAAATACATTATTGCAAAAAACTGATTAGTGCAAAGGAAAGATTGCGTATATTCGACCCTCATGCCCCATCCGTAGGTGGGAGCCGTTGCAATACTGAGGTATTGATGATGATTACAGAAAAATGATTTAGTGTCCAAAATTTGGCATTAAGAAATTGAAGTTTGCACATCTCACAATATGGCTTTGCGCATTATAATGAAAAATCCGGTTGCTCCTCTAAATTAGGAAACATATATTGTGGAGCAAATTCATCACATAACCCACAATGGTAAACTCATATCTAAAGGAGTGACTTTCAAATAATGTACACACCGAACTCTCACGTAAGAATAAACGGAGTAATGTTTGAGCACAACTATTAAAGTATTTGTTTAGAAGAGTATGTTGCCGTTTTAATAAAAATAAAAATAATTCTATTAGAAGAGCAGCCCGTTGAATTGGTGGCAGTAAATAAATTAGATGTTGAGAGCTTTTTTCGTCCTTTAAGAGAGAAAAAGATGAAAATGAAATTCGAAAAAATAGCTCACAAGTTAAACAAGGGCCACCTTTTAGGACACATCAACACACAAATTTGAATTTACAAACAGGACAGACCAAACCAGACACACGACTTCTATAGTTATAAAATACACAGAAACCATTTATTTACCAGACTTGA